AAGTTCCCATTCCCCCCTTTTTTTTTTTTCCACCCCCGGGGTCCCCCCCCCCCCCCCCCCCCCAATCACCTTTTCTTGAGCACGGTCAGACCGTCCCCGGCGTCCCCCAGGTCCAAGGCCATGAAGAACACGATGAGGGACCAGATCATGCCGAGAGTAAGCGTGACGTTGCCGTCAACGATGTCCGTCGGCCCTATCCCCACCAGCTTCACCGTGTTTCCCAAGTACCTGGGGAGGCAGAAACCGCAGGGCGGGGTAGCAAAAGAGGAGGTTTCATATTCATCAGCGTGTAACACACAACAGATTTTATGAAAAATGGGGACGGGGGGGGGACCTAACCTCATCGGGCTGCTGCTTGGCTTCGATTGTTCTGCCCACTGGCCGATTCCCCAACAGGATGGAGGGGTCCCGGTTTAGTCTCGATTTAAAGGAGAAAACCTCGCTTTATCATCCAATACAGAAGGGCCAGGAGACAACAAGCGTCAAAATATGGTCCAGACTCAGTTTCGTACTTTCATAGCTGAATACTGCTGTCTAGCATAGGTCGTCATATAGAGTTAAGTCTCGAATCCACCGCTGAACTGTATTTCTCAGACCTATTTTCTCATTGTCCTGAGGCGAAAACTCCAGCCCCTATTTCTTCACGAAATACTTCCTAACTGCAGGCCCTTTCTGCAGAAGAGCGGAGCGCCGCTTCCGCTCTTCAAAAACGGAAGACGACCCTAGGACGTTCGAGCCGTGCCGTGCCGTGCCGTACCGTACCGTACAACGTGCTGCCGATTCTTGCATGGGTGCTGCTGCTACCTACCATACAATTCTATCAAGGAGGAGGGGGCACGGTGGCGCTCGTGTGGGGGGGGTGGTGACTCGGGCCAGGGGAGAAAGGCATTGACAGACGACTAGTGGGTGAGGGAAAGAGCCGGAGGGCGAAATCGATAGGCGCCATTCGCTGAGCCTCTTCATACACGAATACGATGACAAAACAAAACACGGTGGTGGCATGTGGAAGGGGAAACACTCATGTCCCGGTCCATGACCCCCCGCCCCCGCCCGTGATATCGATCGATAGGACAAGGATAAGGAACACGTTTTTGAACAGAGTAGGAAGGAGCGATTGGCCATCGGTGATCGGCCCTGTGGGAACAATTCTCCTCCGGATGCGTGGTCTAACCGCAAAGGCATGCAACAACATGAGTACGCCCGCCCCTCCCTGACTCTCACTTCCAGACGATGTTCATGTTGGCGATCTTCTTGATTTTGTTTCGCTCCGGCTTGACCTTCCCCAGGACCGCGAGGCTCTGTTTAGACAACACCTCGAGGAGGCCGTAAAGCACGGTACCGTCCTGCGCAACCAAGCCCCACGACGATGAGAGAACAACAAAAGCACGAAAAAAAAAACATGGGGGGGGGGGGGAATCGGTTTAATTTTTACGTATAGCTATCTTTTTCATACGTATATGTGTTAAGTGTGTTATTAGCGAGCGTCGAGTACATACTTGTTTTAGTTATTTTTCCTATCCTTTCGTTTGACTGCCGCAAAGGTACAAACTCTCATCGTCGTTGTTGGTTTGCGGTTCTTGCCAATGCCGACTTTGTTGTCTGTCATCTGTCGTCCCCTTTTTTCCTTTGGTATGTTCCCTTTCAATACATCATCCGGCTGCCCACAAGAAAAACGAATGTGAGCTTTCCGTCACAGAGAACGACATCGTACACTTCCACCGCTGCACTGCACCCCAAACAGATACCGCTACTGCCGGCAACAGCAACCTGTCCGAGCTGAAACCGTTTCATTCCCTCTTTGACACTTAGACTAGGGGTCGCTAATCCACACCGTGTCCACCACCGCTGTACCTACGTACGTGCGCACCTGGAGGTCAACGAAGAGGTCGCACACCGAGAGAGGCCGGTCGCACACCTGCCCAAAACATACATACGTTTTGGTTTTCGGCGGTGAAGAGGAGCAAGAAACAAGGATCATCGTGGACGCTGCTGCTGATGACGGACGGGGAAGGGAGTTCACACGTTACAACGGTTACATGAAGGTGCGTGGATACGAGCGTGCGTACCACAGGAAAAAACACCAAAACCATCAGCAGACGTTACTGCTGTGTACACGACGACCCTATCTACGGCTATGCATGCATGGTGACACAGAATAAAACACGTTTACCTACAGATGGTTATTCACACGCAGGCACTCGATTCTATCCTCGGTGTTTTACCTTACTTCTGTATGATCAGGTTTCAATGTTTCATCAAATGTCTACACTTTCCATACATAGAGACCGGCGACATCTTTACCAAGACAAAGACGCACCGCCTAATCGGCGTCACTTTGTTTACTCACAGTTTCGTCCATCAAGAAGCACAAGAGAAGGCTGCGCGGGTGTAGAGAGCAGGGAAAGGTCAATTCGCGAGTTGGACACTGCACATGATACCCTTTTTTGAACAGAAAACTCAGGCGACATGACACGGGGATGGTAGCCCTCCATGTGCCAAGTCCACCCCTTTCGCTGGCTACAAAACTCGCGGTCCTTTTTCAATGCCTTAGGTAGACGGGTCTCTGTCTGTCTGTCTGTCTGTCTGTCTGTCTGTCTCTCTCTGTCTCTCTCTGTCTCGTTCTCTCTCTGTCTATCTGCCTGCCTGCCTGCCTGCCTTTCTTTCTCTCTCCCTGCCCCCCCCCCTCTCTCTTGCCTTGTTGTTATATCCAGGTTTGTGAAGACCTTCTGCTGCCTGGCCGCCCAGAGGGGGAGGTCTCCCTCCCGCTGGGGCCCCTGCCTCTTCTGGTTCTCGAGCTTGTCGAAGTCCGGCATCACCTTCCCCTCCGCCTCCCAGTCCACCATGGTCCTCTCTTCCGCTTGCTTACACCTCCTGCCCTCTCTTCACCCAGTAGCAGGAGCAAGCAAACCTCCGGCACGCAGTCCCGATGTGTATTGAGAATATCTCGCCTGACGCTTCCTACAGTACGCGTTTGTTCCAACAGGGAAAACACCGCGCCCCTGGTTGCCGATCTTTATGTTGGATACCACCCCCCCCCTGAACACCGATACTGGTAGCACAGCGCCCACCGTACTTGTCAGGATCGACTGAATCGTGCGGAAATTAGGCGAAAACGGACGAGCTGGGGTTGATCTTTGCCAGAGAGAAGAAAAAGAGGCAGGCAGGAGGAGCCAGGCGAAGCGCCGTGAGCGAAAAAAAACGTTCCGGAAGAATTAACACAGCGCTATCTAGAAACGCTTGTACCACCCTTCGCCTGTGTTGTATGTGTAAAAAAAAACGTGCCGGAAGCATGAACACAGCAGCTACCCTTTGCTCGTGTTGTGCGTGCATGTAATTCTGTATTTGGCACGGTCAGCGCTCTAACCGTCTGGCCGATGAAAATGAGGCAGTCGCAGTGCAACTAAGAACGGAACACGTTTCAACTGGCATTCCGTTGGCGTAATCACGGGGGACGCTATACGAGAGTTTGTGTGTGAAATTCTTTAGCTGACATCGACCGCGCTCTTACCGGCTGACCAACATGAAAAGACGGCAGCTTCGGCGGAAACAAGATCAGTATCGGCCTGAAACTAAGAAGTCACTGATTGAGGGGAGCACAGCAGACGGGTTCCTTCAAGTCCAGCCGCGATATCGCAAAATGCTGTCTAATCATCCTAACATTTCATAAGACCCAGCGGTCATATACAAATGTGAAGTGTGCATCTAGCGAGGGCGCACATGGCGCTAGTTGTACCATGGCAAAAGCTGCAGTGGTTTACTTGAGAAGGGGGACGGGAAGGTTCCCGTCCCCAAAAAGGAGTGCGTGGGTGGTGTGGGTGGTGTATAAGTGGGGGCCGCCCTCGCGAGGATTGTAGAGTTAATGTATGAAACAGAGAGGGGGGCCTCGTATCCCTATCCCTAACATTAGCCAAGCGAAGGCTACTGGTAAGCGGTGACGGTTTTCCGGAGGCTGTCAAAATAGCGCGGGCACTCCGCGTTCCAGTGGAAGGGCATGCTCAGGTACGGGGTGGTGGTCGAATACCACTTGTACATCTTTGGCAGGCCGTAAGCGGGGTTCGTAGTTAACGTAGCGCTACTGTATAGCACGCGCCAGCTGGAACGCGCTTGCGTGCCTTTCATCACCCCATGGTGGCATTCAAATGAATCACTTCCATCCAGACGACGTCACACACGGCTACGGATACGATTTCAGAGTAGGGATCGATGTGAATGTAGAGAAGGTGCGGATTTATCAGAGCCAAAGTTTCTTGTTGTGGCCATGATAAAACACATACCATGGTATAGTACATGACAGCAGTACGGCGTTTTCAGAGAAAGCCAGACACGAGAGAACTATTTCGGCTTGTCCAACGCTCTCTTACAAAACACTGCTGTGGCCTGCACAGCCGGATGTATCTACAAGCCCAATAAATAGTGCACGCAGGGAGAGCCAGCAGCAGCCAAAGGCGGTCCTGCTGTGACTCATTCGCTACACTGCACTGCGATCCAGCGACTGGTGTAGACTCTCTTCTGCCTATCCCTCCCTAAGCGCGCTGTGTAACAACTGCCTTGTGGGCACGAAAACATGTGCAGGCGTTGATGTCCCTCCCCTGCTCTAACATAAAAAACAAGTGAAAAAGTACCCACGAGGCAAAAAAACATGAACGAGGAGGTTGTCCCGCGTTTTTTTTTGGCGACAAAACTCTGTGCGCATGCCACGAAATTGTCCGAGAGAACGCCCCCCCCCCCCTCCCCCCCCTGCGCCAGCACTGCACGCGGCGCTGCACGCAGGCGGGAGACACTCGAAACGTGCGGACGACGTGCAACGCGTTTGTTCAAAACTTGTTCTTGTTCGTGGTCTTGTTGACTTCTTGAAAGCTTTTTTCCTTCGCCACTGCTGCAGGTGCTTGTATCCAGTCCGCGACGAAAAAATGACAAAAAAGCGACCCCCCCTTCACAACTCGAAGATAGCAATCACTCTACCTCTCGCAGGGAAGCTTTTCCCTTTGCTTGGCTCCTCGCCCCAGCGACCTGTGGGTCTATCGTCTGTGCCCTCTACTTGTGTGCACACAAGCATCCGCCAGTCGAACAACGCAAATTTTTGAAAAGGAACCAAATGTCGAGAACCAGCAGCGGTTCTGGTACCAGCAGCGACCTGAGGGCAGAGCTTCGGGATTTGCTTCCTCTTTTGGGCCAATCGCTCTTGCGGCAGAGCGGGCAACCGTGTGCATGGTTCTTTTGTCTCACCTTGTCTACTCGCTCCCTGATTTCTTCTCTCTGGTTGTTCGCTGCTGCTGGCTGTTCTCTGCTCTGTGCTTTGAGGGTGTGAGGTGCAACGTCGAGCTCGGGGGCTCCGTGATTGTCATGGGATACTGGAAAGATGGGGTAGTGTGGGAGCCGTACAGTACGGTCTGCGGAACGAGGAGTGCACAACCACGCGCCCACTCACTTACATATTAGCGTTTGTCGGCAGAGAGTGAAGTATCTCGTACACTACCGCGGTCGCACGCTTGAGCCCTGGGCCGTGTATCTTTTGAAAGCAACAACAAATAAAATCCTGGCCGATTCCCACATGCATATACCTACCTCTGGGATACAGAACGGGTCCGGAGACAAGAAAAAACATCAAAATCGGGTCTACAGTAGCCTCAATCCCTTATTTTGGGTCGAAGGACCAGCCGAAGTCGTCCATTTTCTTAAAACGGATTTCTTATATCTTTGCGGGGGTGCGGGCGCCGCCGCGAAAACAACCACTGTCCCCCCCTGCAAAAAAAAATTACATGCGAGGTAGGGGGTGGAAGCATGGCAGCAGCGCAGCAGCAGCAGTGGGACGTTTGTTGTTGGACACGCTTCCCGGCGACCTCTTGTTTCTTATACGTTGGTGGTATCGCACGGTCATGTTTCTTATTGGGACGTTTCTTTTGTTGCGGTCGAGATTGAGCTGTGTTACGTATTCCTTTTTTCTTATTTTTCGTGAACCTTTGAGCCTCATTTTCTTGACAGATTTTTTCTTAATTGCGGGCCCGTTCTGTACTGCTGGGTTGCCGACACCTGCGGTGGGTCTTTGAGGTTGCGTGAGTGTAGCGGTTTTACCGGTTACGTGCGTTCGGCTTTTTTTTCATCGTGCCTAAATTTAGCTGACTGCAGTATTTCGACTCCCGCGTGAAAATTGCAAGCCGATTCACCACGAATGTTTAACTTGAGGAGCTCGTATTTACTCTAAGTTGCATGCACTAAATAATGATGCGATGAAATTCGCCGCGTTTTTGGCGCTCTCTTAGAGGAAAACAAACCAAACAAACACACCCGCAGCGTCACCCATCATTTAGACTATTTCCGTCCGGGCGGTTTCAAAATGTCGGGTCGATGGTACATAGCATCATGGGTGAAAAGCCCACCCTAAGCTCCCACAATCAATCGGGGGAATGTGCAAACTCGCGTAAGAGTCCCCCCCCCCCCCCCCCCCAGCCGTCGTCTCGAGGACGCGTGGTCAATGTTCAATTCACTATTTTCAGCACCCGCAGCCACAGCATCCGGCAGATGAGCACGTCACGACATCACATTTTCTATCATCGCGATGTAAGCTACATAGGATACAGAGTATAACCCAGCCACAGCCACGGCGGAAAGATATGAGCACTTTTCGCACGCGAACCCAACGCCGTCGGCTTCACCAAACAAACAGCAGCACCGTTCACGTTATAAAGTATCTTCTAGAAGCCAAGGTTCTCTTCTCTCTCTCTCTCTCTCTCTCTCTCTCTCTCTCCCTATCTCTCTCTCCTCACAACATCCCGCAACTGAGGATGTCCACTCTTCGCATAAGAGAGCCAGTGCGGTCCACCGCACGTTCGTCTCTGAAAACGTTCTTCCCAATATACACCAAGGCGCGCTGTAGATCACGGGCGGCGATCCAAGCGCCATCCACGAAACAACGGGAAAAAAAACAAACGTTGCCGTCAGCGCAGGGGGTTCCCGCCAGCGTAGGGTGGCAATGTCGCATGCCATCGGCAGTGGCGGAGCCGATGAGGTTAGCACAGCCCGGACGCGAGGGTCCGGTCCACGTCCATTTTCCGGAGGGGAGGGGATAGGACGAGGGGTGGCAGGCGATGGCGGTGGGGGCGGTGAGGGGTTACTGACAGAGCAACACGACATGTCGTTCGTGGTAGGGAACACATGGCCCACGTTCTGCCGCAAATGTTGCACCAAAAAAAAAAAAGGCGACAGGTTCTGGGCTCGATTTCGAGTGCGGCATACAAGGCGCTCTCATGTTTGAAAGACAACGTAGGTATCAGAGCAACCACTGAACAGCGGCAAAAAGGCTCCGCACGACGTGCGCGCATCTCCATTATCCTTGCTCTCACGTTTTGAGCCTTGAACGCGTCGGACGCTAAACTTCCCTCCTCTAGTCTGCTTTGGCCGCCGTACACCGGGACTTTCTCTAGCCTCGCCAGCACATCTTCTCCCTGAGAAAAAAAATGATTTAGCGGGGGGGGGGTTACTCATGTAAGCACATGCCGTAGTCATTAGACCATTGGCATCGCATCCCTAAAATGCTGGGACGGAGCGATATGCCTGGTTTTCGCCGGTCCAGGCTACGTTTTACAAGGATGAAGCAGAGGCTGGCCATCGTTCTTGCGTTTCCTGTGCCAATCCAGATATGCCATGGGAAATCCCAGCCAACAAAACGTCTTACGTTCAATAGGGGGGGGGTGGCAAGGTCGTAGGACAACTACCATCAATCGCTTATAGATTGCGGATAGCACGCTTCTCATCATCCCCTCACGGACAGCCAAAAGCAACCTTTGCGATTTAAACCTCCCCTGCCAAAGACGCCCAGGTTAAAGTCAACGAACTCCCCACGTTCAAGAGGAGATTTTTCCAAACCAAGTTGGCCCGTGACGTCAACAATTTGGGGGGGGGGGGGTGAAACCTGAACGACGCTTCCACAGGACAAAAACACAAAAAGTGCGTCTCGAAAACGGCGACGAGTGTACATACAAAACCTTCCCTCTTGGCAGTGTGGCGCGCATACACAAACTTCGGCCAACCATTGCTTGACCGCAACACCCCTTCATGTCATAGCCGCGGTCCAGGCAAAAACTGCAACCGGTGCGCCCTCCACTCAAGTAGCTCAGCCTCGTTCCATTGTTCAGCAAGAAATGACATCCATCTTTTCGTCATGACAGTCTTGCACAGGCGACGCCACGCGGAAAACAACACAAAAATAAGAAGGAACGCACCGCTTCCTCCAAAGGCAACAACGATGTGCACCAACACGGAGGGCGTCCGCGCCAGTTGGACCAGTAGGGATATCAGAAGGTACTGAGCGGAGACCAGTAAAGTAAAAGACAACAACAACGCCCCTCTCTCCCCCCCCCCTGTTGACCGTTAGCGGAAACTCTCCACTAATCGCAAGAAAACTGTAGGAGGTACAGCAGCAGGCAGAACCATGGTCCCACGCTTTCGAGTGACGCGCACGCACCTGCAGCAGCCTGCCGAAGACCTCGTGGCTGCCGTCCAATGACGGGGCCGCCCCCAGAGTTACCCCGAACTCCGGCCCCCGCGAGAGCCTGTCCCTCGTTAGCAAACCCCGCCGGTCGTGGGGCCGGTCTCCCGAGGACGCCTCCAGCAGGGAGGGGAGGGGGGCTACGACTTCCCCCCCGTACTCCAGCTCTTCTTGCCCCCCGATGTTGATGATATTAAGACCGGCAATCTGAATGGAGTAACGGGGACGCGCGTGAGGGATATTTGGGGTGTGTGTGTGTGTGTGAGAGAGTGATGAGTCGGAGGGGTACCGGAGGAGAGGACGACACAAGTCGCGGTGGTACTGTAGGTCGCACGAGGTAGGTACTCACACCCCCAGGCCTTGGCGAGCACGAGAATACTCGGCGACCGCCTCCACGCGTCCGGAGGGTTGCTACGCGTCTAGCTTGCGAGCATCGCGACCTTTGCAACCCCCCCCCCCCCCCCCCCGGAATATTGGAGCACAAGCAGGAAAAAGTATTGGAAAGAAAAACCAGGCCCCGGGAAGAAAAGAAAGGAAGGGTTCATGAATCGCCGCCGCGAAATAATTGGGGGAACAAAGAAAAGTAGGGGCGAAAAAGCCAGTTTGGGTATTGTGGGGAGGGGGACCCACGTGGGAAGGGAGTAACTAGAAGGAGAACGGCGTCGCGGGAAGTAACCCGAAACCCCCTTTTTCTGGTTGGGAAAGGACAACCAAGGAAAAAGGGCAGCGCCCGGGTCCGAATAAAAAGGGTGGTACTAGGGCAGTGGGCTACCGGGTGGGGGATGGGTTGGCATGAGTGAACCCCCCCCCCCCAAATTGGTAGTTTTTTACTTTTCCCCCTCTAGGGAAAAGGCGGGGGCCATCTTGGGTTACTGGGCCCAGGCGGAAAAAGGGTCCCCGATTGAAAAAACCCGCCGGAAGAAAAGCAAAAAATTTTCGGGCGACTGGGGGGGGGGGTTCGGTCTTGGGTAAAAA